CAACAGCATGACTACCCATCTCAATGTAACACAGGGCAGCCTTCCGTACCTACACTAGACGAATACCAAAACGGGCATAGTAACGACAGTAAGACTCGTAGAATTACCAACCGATGCCTCTTAGTTGCCTGGGCGATACTTTATACTGCTAGAACGGGTGGGAGATTACCAGTTCTACCTTAGTTGGTTCGTATTTCCTTTTATTTTTTTAACCTCATTCCCTATAATATATTTTCTAGGTGGTAGGGCTCCTTTTCTGTCTGGAAGACCGTCTGGGTAGGTACGACCTTTTTATCTATTTCTGCAACCAAACAGCGGTTTGGTACACTGCAACTGCAGGGTGTAGAATCAGTATAAGTACAAACTGTGAGACGTTCCATTAGTTCTCAGAAGTGACAACGCATCTGCCCAGCCTTTTTAAATATATTTGCAGGTGTCCATGGGCTGCAGTAGCCGCTTACCATCAAGTTGTCTGTTAGTTTGTTTGCCACTACAATTTTATAAAAAAAGAACCATATGACTCCACTGCCGAATGATGGAAATCCCATAATATGTAAAAGTAATTGACCATCATTTAAAATTAGCGGAACACACACTATACATTTTAATGGCGTTCGGTCCGTCCACATCCACATATTATCACGGCGATTCGATTTTAAACCGTATAAGGAATATGATGCTACTTGCTTCAAAGTGATAATGCAGCATGAGAACTTGTTCGCAGATTTTCGGTATTTAATTTAAAAAGAAAAACATGTTTTATGTTTGGTAAAAATTCGTTTAATTCTTCACAAATGACTGAAAATGTTATCAAAACACAATATACGTGTTATATAATAACTAAGTTTAAAATACACGATTGCAATAAATATAAGTCTATTTCTACACAGTATCACCACTATTAATGCACCGGGAAATGTTGCTAGTTACAAAGTATCAAACCTTTGTGTACACTTTCTATTATTATCTTCAATAACTTAAGTATTTTATTTTTAGAATTTCAATGACTGTCTCTATATAAATATAAATAGCATTCGTGTTTACGATACTTAAAATATGTATATTATAAAGTAAAATTTCAATAAAATCTAATAAAATAATATGTCATCATACAAAAAATTGAACAACGGAAGTATTATGCCATTTAATGGCTTCTTATATTTACTCCAGTACTACATACAGGTAACAGCCTATCAAAGTTCATTGTTGAACATAGGCCTGTCCTTAAACTATCTCATAGGAGCGATATTTGCCATAGTTTCCACGCTTGACAGGTGGGTCGGCAAGTTTTTTAATTTCTAGTTATCATTAGTTCGTTTCCCTCAGTCGCCGCTTACGGCACCCACGGGACGTTATGGGGTAGTGATTATTCTTACCGCCACTACAGAGACAGAGTGAACGGTCGAGTACTACACAGTGATTATTTTTTTTACATATTGCAGATAGTAGTAGTGTATAATTTACTTCAAATATCCGACGATTCTAGTACCCGAACTCTGCAACAACCACAGTAAGTAGTCTGATTACCTCGGCTGGCAATAGATTTTTTAGCATTACGTTTTTCAAGGTACAGGAATATTTAACAACACGACACAATTAGTTATAGGATGAATACAATAGACGATATAATAACTATTTCAAATACGTTACACCCGGGATAGGTGCCACAGTAATATCAATTAAAATAAATAAATACAGCTATATCTTGGGGTAAAGACAATGGGAGCAAACTAATAATCAGGTTTAGCATGCACTACGTGAGTTTCTTAAGTTTGGTAACATTAGTTCTTAGTTATGAAAAGGTATTTTGAGTGGATAGATAAATTAATAGCTACTAAAACACAAATTGATCCTCATGTCATGTATTGACTAATTATTATATTTAAATCTCTATTTTAAACTAAAAGCTGAAATATGTGATAAATTAATAAAGATTCTCTAAATTTTAACGTCAAGAATATCGCGGAAAAGTATAAATGTTCAACATTAAAGAAATGTATGTATTAATTGTTTCAAATAATGACTTCTTCTTATTTACAATAGGTTTGAAATTGATGTTAATGAAAATTACAGAGTTTTCATCAAACGGTGGTGATACTGTAAGATATTCCAGCAACGTATTCAAATAATCAGCCCGCCTTTTACAATTGCCTCTTAAGAAAATAAATTAGAATGTATGCTAATTTTACAAATGAAAATTGGACAACTAAATTGGAAATCGACCAGGCTAAATATAAATTACCTATGCCGGTAGTAGTTGGGAGTTGTGAACGAGTATGTTTACATGGAATAAATAGTCCGACTAGGTAAGTCCAACTTTGACACAGAGGTCAATCGACGGATTCAACTCCAGCCGAGTTCGGGATATTACCACACATCTTCTCGATAGGTATACCTCAAAACTTGAAAACAAAATTGTATAACCAGTGCGTGTTGCCAGTGATGACCAATGGATCTGAAACGTTGTCCTTCACTGCTGGTCGTTTGATGAACCTTAAGGTCGCTCAACGAGCTATGGAGAGGGCTATGCTCCAGGTTTCTCTGCGTGATAAACTTAGAAATGAGGACATCCACAGTAGAACCACAGTAACCGACATAACCTCACGGATTATTAAGCTGAAGTAACAATGGGCTGGCCATATACGGGGTTATTTTTCAAACAGTAACCTAATTTAAACTTAAGTTCAAATATATAAATAATGATATACGGTTATAGCAGTTTTTGAAAATATGAGTAAATAAGGCTTCTACTTTTATTTGAAATTATCCCAAATTGAATGTGATTTATGGGCAACAATGTTTTTGCTTATCAATCGACCCTTACCATTCGTAATTCGTGCGTGCGCAGTAAAATCAGTTAATGAAATGCAATTTAAATTCAAAATGCATTATCACGTATTTTGAATTTAAAAGGTAAAAAGGACAGAATGTTTGAGATTCTTTTAATTAATTTTACTTCACCATTTGCCTATATTACCTATTCTGAAGCTTCTCTGCAAATTTGGCCGGTTATTGCAAAATAACTCTGTATGTAGCTTGAAGAATCGACAGACGATGGGAAAGTCCTAATAAAGAAAAGTTCTCGAGTGGCAGCTTCGTACCGCTAGGCGAAGTGTAGGGCGACCCCCCAATAGATGGAGTGACGACCTGGTAAGATATGCAGGAAGTCGATGGATGCAGGTGGCTCAGGACCGTGGTTTGTGGCATCAACATTCAGCAGTGGACTTGTGAAGGGCTGTAGAGAATGAAAGAATGAATTATATTTAAAAAAGAAATGCTTGATGTGTTATACAATGGTAAGTAAAATAATTGATATAATATTCATCAGTTACTTGAGCTATTTATTATTTTACGTCTTTGTTTTACTATATTATGATCCAACGTTAATGGCAAATGTGGAGTTTAGAGTGCAGGCCGCTGGATTGTTGCTCATATAATTGTTAAAGTAATGGTTTGATGGTGATTTTGTGTATGAAATGTATGCGCGTGTGAACTATAAGTGGAAACGACGAAACAAATGATCTCATGGTGATATGAACCTCAAGTTGTGTCTGCTTAAGCGCCTTGAAATACTATCTTCATCTACTGCCGACCACGAGGAAGCTGCCGCAAAAATCTCCCAATAACATCGCAATGTGCATAACATTGAGATATTATTACACAAATTACAATAAAGAATAATTTCTTATTACTTGACACTGGCAGAAGTACAACCGTACGAATACCAAAGTAAATAACAAATTTAAAATTTAAAAAGCCCTTAACAAAAAAAGCTGATTCAAACGGCTTAAAAGATTTTCTTCGATGATATGTAAGAACACTCTTGATCAAGTCACCTTTGCAATAAAAATAACTAAATCAAAATCGGTTGATCCGTTTGGGAACTACGATGCCACAGAGAAATTCCAGATAAACACGTTAAACAGAGGGGCTGTTTACGTCGAAGGTGAAAAAGGCAGGGCTGATGTGTCTGATCACGTAACAGTTTGATGAATAAATTTTAGCTATAAACGTACAAGACATTCACGTACTCGTAAGTATGTTTTAAAAATATTATAAGCGATAATGTTTACCGATTGTTAAAATTTATTCACCAGGCCAATAACACGGAGTCAAATACATTTCCTTAAGTTACGTATAAATAAATTATATTAAGAATCGCCTCTACGAATATACAAAATTAATACAAAACTTACCATACTAATACAAATTACATCACAGTTCAATAAACAAGATAGCGTTAAAAGTTAGAATACAGACAATTCAAAGGAATTATACTCGATAAAACGGAGATATAAAAAAAAGTTACAGAATACTTAAAATTTATATGTATAAAATTAAAAAACAACAATTTGGTGAGTTCATTCAGGGTAGGTACCTACACTTCGAATTTTAGGAACATATACATTCGTACACTCGAAAATGGTTACCTTTTTAAGGTAACTTTAGCTCCTAAATGCCTAATGTTTAGATCAATTAAACTAACAAAATCAATTACATATAAAATCGTGCACGCAAAATTTCTAATGAAAAAGTACACTTCATCATTTACAAAAGATTCGGTTGAGAAAATCCAAAATCTCAAATTGGATGTATGATAAAAAGGGCGCTCTTAAATACTAATGGGTAAAAAAGCTACTTCATTAAAAAAGTTATACAAGGGGCCTGAATAATGCATGGCTTCAAAATACTGTGTAATCGCAATGTACTTATGGGTAAAGGGTAAGCTAGATTACAAATTTAAAAAAATGATACTTATTAACGTTGTTTGGATAATATCGTAGTAAAATATCACTTTTTTATTGTTAAGATGACAAAAATATAGTTTATAATGTCCACTGTTGCTAATTGGTAATGAGCATACATTTTGACAATTTTTTCATCATAAGAACGCTAATGTTTGTTAATACGTATATTTATAAATTGTACGTTTATTAAAATGAGGCTAAGAGATTTCTGCCGCCTTAACTTACACTTCTTCTATTAAAAATGTCTTTTGCTTACGGGTAAGACGACAGTGCCTGTTGAGGCCACGCAATTTTAGCGTCTATCCTTTTATAGGCCAGTATAAAATTCTCTCCGCTTTTTTCTGACATGACCTCTTGTGGGCAGTCGTTCTCGTTTAACATTGTTTCTGAAAGAAAATAAACAAATTATATTTTCAATTCTGGAAGGATATATTGTAGTTTTTATTTTGAATTTATTGTTTGTTTTACGTGAATACATTTGATAAGAATTTGCTTGCATTTCATCATCACCATCATCATAATTACAGCCCTTCACAAGTCCAATGCTGCACATAGGTCTCCCCCAAAGAACCAAAAAAAAATTCAAAATACGGTCCTGAGCCACCTGCATCCAATTAATTTAATATAAAAAAGCTTAACGTCTGAGCTCATGACGGCTCCGTGGCGCAGTGGCTTAGCAATGAGTTGTTGTACTAGGGGCCGCGGGTTCGAATCCGGCACGGAACAAGTAATTATATGGCCTACAAATAGTTGTTCCGGGTCTGGATGTTTGTCTCCTTGCAATTTATGTTTGTAAACTGCCTCCACGACACAGTAGAAAATCCTAGTTTGGGGGTAACGTTTTTTCAAATAAATTAAAATAATAAATAATAAAAATTAATGTTAACAGCAACGTGTCCATAGTCCTGGGAGTTGGGAGGTACATATGCTGTCGTACAGTGTATTGTACCCTAGTACGGTTGTCATTATAAATGCGGATTTTTACGTTGGCCAACATTGTGTCGAATGTTGTGGCCATTACCTATGGCCATCATGTAGTGCGGGTGTTTATGCTTACCTTGGTACATATGGTATATAATGGCTCACATGTTGAGGCAACTTCTGTGTGGTGTCGGTTTTACAAAAGATCACACGGTTGTGGCGGAGTTATGGCCACCGCGTTTACACGTTGGGCGCGCGTTTAGTTTGCTACAAGCTTCCAGGGTATTCGCACGCATCTGATTTCAATTTTATATTCAAGCGATTTACAGAGCTCTAACATGCCGAAAATTCTTTGTGAAACCTAATAAATAAAATTTCATTCTTTCATTTCTTTATGATCACCCTTTCCTTATACACATTCACGTAGTAGTATGCTGCGGATAAATGACCCGCAGTAGCCGTTAGCGCCTCAATATCCATTTTAATAAATTCGAACTATACGACCTTCCAACGTATGGACGACATCAAAAACTATTGGTTAATATCTTTGGCACAATGTTGGCCAACGTGAAGAGTTGTCATTAGGCGAGGATTTTAATCACCTTGTCCGTCGTGTAACGCAAAGAGCGCATAGTCCTGCGGGTTGGTGATGGCGGCGGCGTGCGCGAGCGCGCGGCAGAGGTCGCGCGCGCGCGCGCCGGGGCGGCACGGCAGCGCCACGCGCCGGATGGAGCCGCGGCACTCGTCCGGCAGCGCCACGCGCACCACCGCCGCGCCGCGCGCCGCCTGCCACGCCTGCGGCGACGACCCGCGCCGCCACTGCACACGCATACGCCCATGTTACATACAGCTCAGCTAAACGCTCAATGTCACAGTTGAGGTAAGCGCTTAATGTTACAAGTGAATTATATAAACGCTCAATGTTTCGAAATGAACGTTTGAAAAATGTTATAGTATTGTCGTGACAAAAAGGCTAATAGTAAGTGGATACTATAGCTCATGGATATCTACAACCAACTTCAAACAGAGACGGCCAAACGTACAATGTTACCCCTCTTGTCTAATTAAATGCTTCATAGCCTATAATTATGTAGTATGAAAAACCTTTCAACTATACAAGGTCCTATTAATGTAACATTTAAACAAATTTGTTCTACCTATATAAAGCCTCTGTGTTACAGGTAAAAATGCTAAGACGTTTGCACTTTTATGTATTCATCATCATCATCATCATCATTACAGCCCTTCACAAGTCCACTGCTGAACATAGGCCCCCCAAAGAATGCCACAAAGCACGGTCCTGAGCCACCTGCATCCATCGACTTCCTGCATATCTTACCAGGTCGTCACTCCATCCAGGGGGGAAGCCCTTCGTCCGCCGGTACGAGGCCGCCACTCGAGAACCTTTTTTCCCCATCAATTGTCGGTTCTTCGAGCTATATTGCCAGCCCATTGCCACTTCAGCTTACTAATCCGTTGGGCTATGTCGGTCACTCTGGTTCTACTGCGGATATCCTCATTTCTAAGTTTATCACGCAGAGAAACTCCGAGCATAGCCCTCTCCATAGCTCGCTGAGCGACTTTGAGCTTCCTCATCCGGCCAGCAATGAAAGACCACGTCTCAGTTCCATAGGTCATCACTGGCAACACGCACTAGTTGTACAGTTTCGTTTTCAAGTTTTGAGGTATACCTGACGAGAAGATGTGTCGTAATTTTCCAAACGCTGCCCAACCAAGTTCAATCCGTCGATTGACCTCGGTCGAAGTTGGACTTACCTAGTCGGACTATTTGTCCCAGGTAAACATACTCGTCAACAACTTCGAGCTTACTGCTCCCAACAACTACCGGCATAGGTGTGACATGGACATTAAACATGATCTTTGTTTTGTCCATGTTCATCTTAAGACCTATCCGTTGGGAAACACTATTGAGGTCATTGAGCATAGTGCTTAAGTCCTCCAGCGATTATGCCATAAGGACTATATCGTCGGCAAATCGAAGGTGAGTGATGTACTCACCATTGATGTTAATACCGTATCCTTTCCAGTCCAGAAGCTTGAAAACGTCTTCCTATGCAGCAGTGAAGAGTTTCGGGGATATAACGTCACTGTCTTACACCTCTCTGCAATCGGATAGGTTTCGTACTCTGGTTCTGTACTCGGACAGCCATCCTAGCCCTACTGTACAAGCACTTTAGCACTTCGATATACCGACAGTCAACTTGGCACCGCTGAAGGGACTGCAGCACCGCCCAAATTTCGACAGAATCAAAGGCTTTCTCATAGTACACATACGCCAGACATAGTGGCAAATTGTACTCCTCGGACTTCTGTACAATTTGCCGAAGGGTATGTAAGTGGTCTATGGTGCTAAAACCTTTTCGGATACCGGCTTGTTCGGGAGGTTGGAAGTCGTCAAGTCTGCGTGCGAGACGATTCGTAAGGACTCTCGAAAACAGCACGTAGACACGGCTCAGAAGGGAAATCGGTCTGTAGTTCTTCAAGAGAGCGTAGTCACCTTTCTTGTAGAACAAAACCACCGCACTTCTGCTCCACGCCGCCGGTGTAATGCCACCATGGAGGACGGAATTAAAGAGCTTCTGAAGGACTTCAGGTACCGGTTTTCCACCCGCTTTCAGAAGCTCCGCTGTAATTCCATCCTCGCCTGGGGCCTTGCCGTTTTAAGGTGCTGGAGAGCCATTCTAATCTCGCTCAGACTGACGTCCGGTATATCATCGGAATAGTGTTGGATAAGATTCGCTCTTGGATCGTTACTCACACTTGCGTGTGGCTCCAACGATGATGTGTACAGAAGCCCATAGAACCTCTTAATCTCACTCAAAATCTCAGGTGTCCCGGAAACGACGCTGCCGCACTCGGTCTTCAGCTTCGACAGTTGGCTCTTTCTGGCAGACAGATCTCTAGCAAAGACTTTGGAGCCCCGGTTCCGCTCGATCGCTTCTTCAATACGAGCAGTATTAAAGTTGCGTCCCGCCGCATGCATTTGGAGATCCGTCTGTTCAGTTGCCTGTATGCTGTCAAATCTACTGAAGACTGCAACTTCATATCCCGTCTAACAGCCATGAGATTAAGAGTGTGATCGTAGAATTTTTGTGTTCTTCTACGGCGAGTCTTGCAGAACTTAGCTCCGACCGCATGGGCAGTTTCCACGAGCTTGTCGTTCATATCGTCCACTGCATTGCAATCTTCTAGGCACTGAAAACGGTTTCGTAGCTCCAGCTGAAAGGTTTCGGGACTTTGGATTAGAGCACGAGGGGGACGGAGCGTTGACTTCATTAGACGTGACCTCTCCAATTTAACGTTTAGGTTCAGTGTGCCTCTCACCATTCGGTGATCGCTACCGGTTTTCACCCTCGCGATCACTGAGGCATCACTGAACAGTTGTCGTCTGGTCGTCATAATGAAGTCAATCTCATTTTTTGTCGAACCGTCGGGACTCGACCAGATCGACTACCTATGGGCCGATTTTGGAAGAAAGAGCTCATCATAAAGAGTCCCTCCTTCTCCATGAAGTCGGCCAGCTGCTGGCCCCTTGGGTTCCGTTGCCATATTCCAAATTTCCCAACTTTCAGCTCAACGTTTTCTCTTTTATTTTTTTATAGGAGAGGGGGCAAACGAGCATGCGGCTCACCTTATGGTAAGTGACTACCGCCGCCCATGAACAACCGCAACACCGGGGGAATTGCAGATGCGTTGCCGGCCTTTTAAAAAGGAGTAGGCTCTTTTCTTGAAGGTCCCTAAGTCGTATCGGTCCGGAAAAATCGCTGGTGGTAAACTATTCCACAAGGAAGTTGTGCGAGGAAGAAAACATCTTCTAAATCGCACAGTGGTGGACCGCCAATCATCCAGATGGTGTGGATGGTATCGGGAGTTCTGCCGCGATGTGCGTTCGTGAAATTTGGCGGCTGGGATTAATCCGAACAATTCCTCAGAGCACTCCCCATGGTAAATGCGAAAGAAAATGCAAAGAGATGCAACATCTCTTCGCAGTGCCAATGAGTCGAGCCGATCGGAAAGGACTCGGTCGTCGACGATTCGAGCCGCTCTGCGCTGGATGCGGTCAAGTGGAAGAAGCTGGCACTGGGGAGCCCCAGCCCAGAGATGGGAACAGTATTCCATGTGAGGCCGAACCTGCGCCTTGTAAAGTTGCAGGCGTTGAGCCGGCATGAAATACTGTCCCGCTCTGCTGAGCACGCCAAGCTTATTAGAGGCCAATTTGGCCTTCTCTTCCAAGTGACCACGAAACTGCACGCTACTCGATATGTCGACGCCGAGGATTCCGATACTGGCTGAGGCAACAAGGGGAGTACCTTGAAACTGAGGAGATACGACAAAGGGGTTCTTTTTAGCGGTACCTAGTTTTGCATTGAAGTCTCCCATTAACACCGTATAGGGTTTTGGAGAAATGTATGGCTCTAGAGATATCCTCATACATTTCCTCCACCTTCTCATCGGGGTGTGCCAAAGGTAGTGCGTAAACCTGTATGACCTTTAGCGAATACCGTTTGGTGATTCTGAGTATAAGGTACGCAACCCTCGTCGACACACTCCCAATCTTTACAACGTTGTTAACGAGAGACTTGTGGACGATAAATCCGCCACCTCCTTGGAACAGATGGTCGCCCTCCCGGTGATAGAACAAGTTGCCGGATTCGAGGATTACCGTGTCCTCCCCCTCTCTTTGGACCTCGGATAATCCTATAATATGCCAGCGTAACTTGTCTATCTCTTCTTTCAGTTCCAGGATCTTCTCGTCAATCCTCAGGGTGCGTGCGTTATAAGTTGCCAGGTCGAGTCGTCGTAGGTGGCAACTGAACCTCCACCGGAGATTCTTAGCACCCCTTGCCCCACCATTACCATGGTCGCCACCGTAGCCAGGAATAGCGGGGCATCCGGGGACTGGGGGCCGTCTCTTCGTTACTTTCATGGGGGGTATTTGCCATAGTTGCCACGCTTCGCGAGCGGGTTGGCAACCGCAGTTTTATTGGATTTTTGCTGTTATCAGAAAGATGCTGCTGCCCATCCTCTGCCTCAGTTTCCCTCTGTCGCCTCTTACGACACCCACGGGAAGATATGGGATAGTGAGTATTCTTTACCGCCACTACACGGGGTTTTATATATTGCATTGATATTATAATACTTATAGTTACTGCGCAATGTTTAAAAGTTATAACTTACAAGCTTGTTCTATTATGCAACTTGTCAGTGTTTTAGGTACGGGAAAATTGATTTTAATCTATACAAATAAATAAAATTGAAGTGTTTGTTTGTAATGTCAAAATTAGAGCTTATTACTAAATACATTTAAAAGTATATACGGTACTAACAACAAAAATACAATTTTTTAAGTTTTGTCTGTCTGTCTGTCAGTCTGTCTGTCTGTTTGTTCCGGCTAATCTCTGAAACGGCTGGACAGATTTTGACGGGGTTTTCACTAGCAGAATACTGATGTCACTAGGAGTAACTTAGGCTACATTTATTTTAGAAAAAGAATTAGAGTTCCGCGAAAAAAATATTAAAACCCCAAATAACACGCGGGCGAAGTCGCAGGGAACAACTAGTATATAATATAACGCCTCATGGTTGAAAGTAAAACAAGGTAATAGCCTCATACGTCCCACTATTGGAAACAAAAAATGTAAGACATGCAATCATGAAAACATCAAATAGTAACAAAAGCTTCTCAACCCCACCAGCATAATTTACAGATTATGGGCATGCAACAGGGCTACAAGAGATGTAGTCGAACGTCAGAGTATCACTATTAAAATAGAGACGGTTTTCTACAAAATGCTATTATACAGCCGCAAACTAAGTGCATATCAGTGACCAAACAATTGCCATGAAAAGATTATATGAAGTCAATCAACACGATCACAGACCCCTTAGAGATCTATCTCTGCTACGTGAAAATCGTTTATTGTGGACATTAATACACATTCGCACTGGACCAACGTGAATGCAGATTTCTGACGACTCCTTAAACACACACACACACACACACACACACACACACACACACACACACACACACACACACACACACACACACACACACACACACACACACACACACACACACACACACACACACACACACACACACACACACACACACACACACACACACACACACACACACATCAACACACACACACACACACACACACACACACACACACACACACACACACACACACACACACACACACACACACACACACACATGGTAGTAAAATTACACTACTCTATTATATTTACACTAGGAAAATATCTTATTCTTTTTCGTTAGTCTGTGTACAATTCTTTAGATAACTTGCACTTCCGGGCCCTAGATACTGGCGTCCAGCGAAAAATATATGTTTATCTTTTCTTAAATATTGTTAAGATGTTTAACTCACTGTTCTTGCTTACATTTGTTAAATCTATCTGTTAATAAAAACATTTATTATTATTTATTATTACGGGTATTTCATTTAATGGCGTACGGCATTTTATCTCAGTCCTAAGAGGTGACAACGCATCTTTATCCTTGTCAGAAGTTGTTCGCAGGTGTGTATGTTCTGTAGTATCCACTTACCATAAGGTGAACTGTTAGTTCATTTGTCACTCTTTTCTTCTTCATCATGCCGTAAAAGTAAAAAAGAGGGACTTTGACCTCTCCCCTTGTAGGAAAAGCAGCCTACTACCTTCCACTCTTGGTCACAGGCCCCCTCTCATTTCTGTGAAGGTTTTAAGGCTAGGAAAAGTCCGCCGCGCTGCCCCAATGCGTGTTGGTAGACTTCACATGTCTTCGAAATATTTTTTTTTAATTACTAAGATATGCAAGTTTCCTCACGATGTTTTCCTTCACCGTAGATTACGTGGTAAATCAGCACTTAAAATTGCAATGATCAATTTTATTGGTGCCGGCGAGGCTCGAACCCGGAATGCTCGCATACTGTGATATTTTTCTGCATAGCCCTTGAACTACCACGGCTTTTTTGAAGGAGGGATTTCCTTGTAGGATGAATTTGCCTTGATCATCACGACTGAAGATCGCGGTACTAGTCGTCTCGCACCCTTGACGCGGATCTCCGTAACCTGTCTGGGTTTGTCACTCTTATATTATAAAAATAAAGGGAAATTAAATATGGTATTGTATTATATATTTTTCCAAAGGTTTTACTTACGGGAGCAGAACTATCCGGCGCCGGTTCGGGGGCGAGTCTCTTGAGCACCGCAACTGCTGAGAACAGTGCGGTGAGATAGTAACCGCCTTCTCCTGCCAGCAGTGCAGGTGGAAGCAGTCCTGCCATTAGCTCGGCTTCTAGCTCAGCGCAAACCAACCGACATCGGGCTACCGTCCACGCTAATACTGGTAACAGGTCATCCGCCCCTAAGGTCCGTTCGCCGCGCATCTGGGGAAACAATTTCTATTTCTTTAAATAATTTAAATGGAAACAATTTGATTGTAACAAAAAATAATTTTAAAATAATAACCTAAAAGAGAAATAAGTCGATTTTTGCATTTTTTTATTTTAAATGTTAAGAGCCGAATTGCCTGCAAGATTTTACATAATTTTTTTATGAATTTTACTCATATTTTGAATAGTTTTTGCTACGTTCTTAAAGTGAATTTTAGCAGTCAAGTTTAAAATGTAAAAAACGTTCAATGTCATAAACGTTCAACGTTAACAGCGCCTGGATATTCATTCTTTGTTCGTTGGATTAGTTACGTAAGCACTGAGAAAATATTTAAAAATAAAAAAAAAACTCAATTAATTATTAGAAAAACACATTAGTAAAAACATGCGTGAGTATCTTGGAACACTCGGTTGGGACGAAGTTCATTTCGTAGTATATTATTATTGATAATCGTATTATATTATTTATTAACAAATACAAATAAATAAATTACTAGCGTCTATTAAAATGAAGCGTCATTTAAAATAATATTTCTATCATGGCAAGATAAGAAAAAGTGTTAGGGAGATGAATATTATTCCATCTCGCTCGCACTATAGAAAGGGGGTCGTGACGGAAAAATCTTACACTTTTTCTCGCCTAGCCCCCATCCCTCACATTTGTATGCGATGAGGAACTTCGTTCCAATAATTTCATAACTTGTATTCATCGCAATTGGAAATCTAAATTTTCGCTTTCATCATCATCTGCATCATCATCATTACAACCCCTAAAACACGGTCATGAACCACATACATCTATTGACATTCTGCATCTTTTACCAGGTCGTCTTTCACTCCTTTAGTGGGGAGTCGCTCTATACTCAGTTTACCTACACGAGGCTGCCATTTGAGAACCTTTTTTCCCTATCGGTTGTCAGTTCATAGCCGTATAGCTCAATACAGTCAACCCATTGACACTTTACTTTACTGGTATATATCGCAAAATTACAATTTTATTCTCATACAATTTCTATAAAATGTTTTGTTTTGCCTGGTCGTATAACCAGGCTCGTCGTCTCGTCGCTCGTCGCTCGTCAGGCGGTCGTATAGCTACGCTATTAAGATTTATATATCGTATCAACGTACCGCATTAAACATAACAGATATAGCAGCCAGAAGGTTTTCTAGTTTGTCCAGCGGTGAGTCAGCTTCTTGCATTTTAAGGAAATGTTTTGAGATCACTGCTAAGACAGTTGACGAGGGCACCTTCGTAGATTCCTGGCAAAATACAAATAAAAAATAATAAGCAAGGTTTCCTTTCGGGTTTTATATTTTTGCATATAGATTAAGGATCTAATAAAGTGATTAGTTATAATTTATTACTATTATATTTTGAAAAAGTTATAGCAAGTGGATGCCGTAGCCCATGGACATCATGCAGATGCGATTAGAACCTTGAGATATCAGATGAAATACCTCGTTACCAGTAAAAACTGTCTGGTTCTCGTCACCAGTTATACCAAACAGATACTCTGTTATGATAGCTATGCATTATGCTTCTATTTCACGCTGGTATTTTGTACGAGCGTGGTCATTCTCCGGTTGAGCCGACCCATTCGTACCGAAGTCTTGTACGCTACAGCGGGAATCTTCCACTTATCTATGATATATTTTACAGTATCTAATGTAAATTGATACTATCAATGAGTCGTAGCGTGTTCGCTCGATGACAGCCAGCAGTGTGTATAATCTACCGTCGACACAGTGTCCTGTCCAGATGTTAATTTCAATTCCCTCAGACCAAAAAGGAAACTTGTATTCATCGCCATTGGAAATCTAAATTGACCAAAAAGGAAAGATGGAGCGCTACGTACATTTCGAGTCACGTAAAAGCCATGCTCAACTTTTTTCACACACCATTTTTTTTCTTTATATAACAGCCCATAAAAATTTACTACTACGCACACATATACACCTAAAATCATGTTGTTGGTTGCAAATGATTTTATATGCATATCTATGCGTGTCCGTAAAATAAGTGGGGTATGGTACAGATTTAGCTTTTGCGTCACTTAAAATTACGTTTTTACTTCTTTCTGGGTCTGAGGTTATTCCTAGATACGTTCAGTTATCATTTAAAAAAAGCAAAAATATGTATGTCACCTTGACGCCGAGCTGGAGTGGCGTTGCATGTTGCGCTCTTTCGATGGCGGCGTGTAGACGGCGCAGGTCTGGCGCGTGCCAGGCCGCCAGCAGCGAATACAGCCGCCCGCGCAGCGGACGAACCACTAGCCGGTGCATCACGCCCTCTAGTATCGCGTCCAGGTTCAAGAACTCCGTCGGTTTCAACTGAAGACAAACAACGATTTATGAAGAAGCACTCAACAAATTGCTGTTCATATTTTCAACGATTCATGATCATCGCTATTATATTATATAAGTAACTACTTTTTATTCTACTGCTGGAATAAGCCGACGAACGGGTCAGTTAGCACGGAGAAGCTCAACACGATTAGAAAGTTGATTGGTAAGCCCAGACACCCTTGCTGTAATCTTTTTTATACGTGGTAGAGCCATGCTGCAGCTATATTAGCAGGTAGTATAGTTGTGGGATGAATGAGTCGACTCGACCGGAGAAAGACCACGCTCTCACAGAATACCAGTGTAAAATAGCAGCTTAACACTGCTATGTTTCGTATGGTGAGTGTAAAGAACCGGAGACCCTTTTTACTGGAAAAGAGGCATTCCATCTTAGTCCTCACGGGTGACAACGCATCTGCATTTTGACTCGCAAACGAAGATAAATGTAGATGTCTATGGGCCACAGCAACCACTTACCATCAGGTGGACTGTGTGTTCGTTTGTCCCCCTGTCCTATAAAAAAAATCTCGAGCAGTTATCATTTAAGCAATAAAATTGGAATACCCCCAGTTATAATTATAATTTCTTTAAATACTAACAATGCTGTTTAATATTAATGTTTCAGTTAGTCACTCGAATTAAACTTCTAATAATTGTATTAGAAGCGATACATCGTCGTCAACATAAGCTTATTTAACAGTCTATGAAAGATAGGCTTTTCTTATGTGAATAATTAACGATCTCAACAAGGCTACGTTAGATACAAATTCTCGACAACGATGTAGATATTTTAGGTGCAGCAATTTTTGAGATGCTATTATTGCCATCTTCCTAAATCTATAAAATTTTAATTGTGTTGCCGAAGAGTGGAAAGATATATAACATAAAAACTATTTATTTTATTTAAATCACGATATAGGTACTTACTTTTAGTCTTTCTTTTTCCACTTCTTTCTCAAATTCTCTCTCTCCGTGCTTTACAAGATAATTCTTCATGCCCGACATGAATTGTCTTATATTCCGCATCATCACCTGCAAGTAAAATGTCATAAATCATAGCTTCAAGGACAGTTTAGAAAAAACGTGGCCCGTAAAATATTATTTTAAAACAACGAAGTAAAACGACGAAACAAACGTTACCTGTGGGCAGGTCTCCTTCGAGTCTAGGGTACACGCGATGAAATTGTCAACATTTTGGGCAAAGGTTGTGCTTTTGTCTTGCGCCAGGTGTAATGCGTATGCTCTTAAAGCTGCTCCTGTTCCCCGTGATGTGCGACCACCGCGAAGAGCCCGCACTCGACCCGCCGCTGTAAAAACATAATTGAACATTAGATATTTACGTACGATAGTGGAATATCATATTATACCATAACCTATTTCATTTTTTCAATTTCGTCAAAGTTAACATAATAAACATAGGTTATATATTAATACGTGAAGGGAAACCTTTGTTTCCCTTTTTAAGCATATTACATGTACGGAGGAATGTGAGATTTGGCATAGTTAAAGTTCTGAAAGCTAAAATCTATACAAATAAATAAAATTGAAGTGTGTGTTTGTAATGTCAAAATACCAGCCTTTTACTAAATGCATATGAAAGTATATACGATACTTATAACAAAAACACAATTTTTAAAATTTTTATCTGTCTGCCTGTCGGTTTGTCTGTCTGTCTGTTTGTTCCGGCTAATCTCCGAAACGGCTGGACCGATTTCGACGAATCTTTCACTGGCAGATAGCTGATGTTATAAGGAATAACTTAGGCTACTTATATTTTAGAAAAATAATTAGGGTTCCGCGCAACATAATTAAAACCCTAAATTACACGCGGGCGAAGTCGCAGGGAACAGCTAGTTTATATCTATACTTTTAATATAATAAAGCGGAAGAGTTTTTTTTTGTTTTTTTGTTTGTTTAAACGCGCTAATCTCTGGAACTACCAGTTCGATTAGAAAAATTATTTTTGTATATTACAGCCAGATTCATGTGGAATAGTATAGGCTATCTAGCATTAAGCTATATAAACCTTAAATATGGAAATTTGTTAAGCAAGTCAGAAGAAAAAGCAATCCCGAAATGATTTATCCGCGTACGCTGGTGTTATCGTTAGGGATACGTAAATACAATGTTCTAGAAAAATATAGATCTTTACCCCGTCTAAAAAAAAGTCCGCGATGCCATATGTGGTACTTTCAACAGTGGTAGAGCCACGTGGCGGCTTTTGCTGTCGCACGGATGGGCCAGCTCGAACCGGGGTGGTACCACGACCTCACATAATACCAGCGTGAAGTAGAGGTTTACCTCTGCGTTTCGCTTGGTGAGTGCAGGTGGCCGGAGGCCCTTTTTACTGGAAATGAGGTATTCCATCTTAGTCCTCACGGGTGACAACGCATCTGCATTTTGATTTGTAATAGAGGATAGATGTAGATGTCTATGGGCCGCAACAACCACCCTTATCCTATAAAAAAATGTCTATTTCTTATACATAAGCCATAATTAGGTATTTTGTGACAAAAAAAAATATTGAAAATTTAAAAGTGATTTATGAGCGTTATTATTAGGCATGGCCTACTTATCCTTACGAACGAAAGTTACTTCATCATCAAGACAATTTTATGAAGATAAACTTTGTTCTTTATACCATGTTATTTGGACGCATAGTTTAAGAGATAATGTAAAATTAAAATAATTCAATACTTGGCTGGGCGCGCGAACGACACATAAACCCTAGCCCGGTGAGAACTGCGAGAACTGCTCAACCGGGAGGGGGAGGGAAAGTGGATAAAACTTAACTTCGCTCTACATCATACATAATATGCCGACAGATAAAAGTACTCCATTAATTATGCAAATTTTTTCATCCATTGCTATCAAATAAAATATTTAAAGCCCATTATAAAATGCTTGAACTAGGTCATGTCGCGCACCTCCGACATGTGATGACGCGTGTGAAACCGCGGGGCACAGCTAGTATAAATATAATATGTGTTACAAATACATTATACATTAGATTAAATAAAGCAAAACGTTCATTGTCTACGTTCATCCTGCCGACGCCTTACTCATTGTCTGTCGTTTGTTTACGTTCATACAGCCAATATTGACATGTATGTTTTCAAATGATTATTTAGCGTATTTTGTTATATAATAGAGTACGTATAATATTGAATTTACACAAGGATAATATTTGTGTCCTTTTAAGATACAATCTAATATGCTAATGATTAGATTAGTAAGTGTAATTTTGATTACGTATTCTGATATGTGTTTATTTTAAATAAACAATATATCTACTATTTTTCGAAAGAATTTAAAATGATCTACGCTTGTCCGTATTAAAAGTCTTTGCACTTTTACCGGATATCTTTTATTTCTAGCGCCATGAATTAACTTTCTATTATCAGTTTTTTTATGTTTATTGATAAGATTGACAGAGTGACAGAATGTTATGCTGTTTTCCAAAGGCCTCCAATCCGTCTCTAAAGATTGTTTTCCGACTTAACTTAAGGTATTCCATTCATTTTCAATGTATATTCATTACTCTTTTCAAAATTTTATATACCTTTAAAGATCAACAAGTCTCTAACCTATAAAACAGAGAAGAAATAAATGCAAAAAATGAAAACATTACCTACACAGATACAATTGAGTAAAAGTGAAATTATCTATTTTCGTCTCGTTTGTTGAATCGGTCGTTGTAGACTGCAGACAAGCTTTAATTTTTTTACATAAGTACTTCCAAATATATCCAATTGTATTAAGTAGTCTATAAATAGGGTTTTTGTGTCGTATATTTTCCCCGTTTTCTTCAGGGCACAATTCACTGCAATGACAACTTGGAGATTTTGCTACAACTACTATTTGCTTCTTATTAGAGCTTTTTTCGGCTAACACCTTGCATAAATTCGTTAGCGATTCTTTTTTCGCCAAGTGCTGTTGAAAACCTGGCTCTAACAGCTTTTCCTTAGTCACGAAAACCCAATCGCTCTCCAAGACGAATTCGGTAAGATTATCGCATCTGAAATTCTTGATCGTGGTCAATGCGTAAACATCTTCATTCGACAACCTAGCTGACACCTCTGAAATCTGAGGTACCCTCGGCAATGGAACCGACACCTCTGGAACTTGAGGATTCCGCGGTATCGGACTTTGATCGACTTTTTTCCAAAATTTGAACGGTTTCGACGTTTTCTTTTCACTCACTTTCGCGCACTTTCCTAAGAACAACTTTTTGAACCAGTTCATGGCTGATCGCCATGCGGTTTCTTCCCGCGTGCACAAAAGATTTGAAACGGTGATTTCTCATTCACACAACGTAAGTCACTTCGTGTCAAAGAGCGACTGACTCTGATTTCTATTCTCCGGCACGTGCAGACCTTTACCCTTTAACAACTATTAATTTATTTACTCAGCTAATGTTGTTATTGATAACATTTGCACGGTACCATTGTTCGTGCTCCACTAAATTAATTAACTTCATAATTATTCGTAATGATTCATTATATCAACATTACTTTATCATACATGCAGCCGTAATGTGGACAGGCGTCAATGTGTGATATAATCGTATGCAATGCTCACTCGAGATCGTTGGCCATAAATAATTTTCATTACTTATTATATTTTTATTACTGTCAAGGAGCAACAACTTTAAGACACCTGCTCGTATTTACGATGTTTATATATTTACTACGAGATAATGCACAGTGGATACTAACTTGTGTGTATTTTAGCTTATTATAGACTAGCTGTCCCCCGCGACTTCGCCCGCGTGGAATTTACTACGATTTCATAGTTTTTACTTTGTTTGCGCGGAACCCTAATTTATTTTTCTAAAAAAAAAGTACCCTAAGTTACTTCTTATAACATCAACTATATACGAGGGAATGTCCGGCCAAAATCGGTCCAGCGGTTTCTGAGATTAACCGGAACAAATAGACAGACAGACAGAAATTTTAAAAATTGTTTTTATGTACCGTATAAACTTTCATATGTATTTAGTAAAAAGCTGTTATTTTAACATTACAAACAGACACTTCAATTTTATCTCTTTGTATAGATATAAATTTTCTTATGATTTTACAATTTAACACGTTAGCAAAGAGAAGTGAGTTTAATAATGAAATAGGTCTACTTAATAGGTCTAATATTAAACATAATTATTCTATATTGTGGAAATAGCTTCCGAATGACTCTCTATCCACTGCCAAATTGGAAGAAATTGTTGTAATGCAAAGCGACTAGCATTTCAGACGGAGCACTACACAGAGCTTTCCTATCACCATTTTTAAATGTTTGTATCAATATACACCCACTGTATGCCAGCTAGGCGAGGAATATTGTCTAATAAGGCGTATTAAAGAATATCCCACGCCAGCTTAATGTTAAATATAGTAAAGATTTTTAAAATTAATTAACAGTGTTAATTATTAAATTACACACTTTAAAGTCCTTATTCACAAGTATTTCAGTGTTAATGACGTGTTGAATAAATAGTTCTAACTAATTCTTGATAATGATACTAATAATTCAGTAGTGACAGTTTATTATTGATCTGTAAAATAAAAACCCGTCTGTTTGGCTTTATGACATAATTGAAAATTAAAAATTTTGTACAACCGACTTCAATATAAATTATTAAGAATACCTTTAAAACTATTGGTCAGACCGTGATCAAATTTATATGGGACCACATGAGAAGCACTAGCTTTCAAATAAAAAAAGAATCATCGAAATCGGTTCACCCAGTAAAAAGTTATGATGTAACACACATAACAAAATAAACAAAACATAGAGTCGAATTGAGTACCGTCTCCTTTTTGAAGTCAGTAGAAAACTAGACATTATCGAATTCTAAGCGCATATACCTAATTCACAGATACCTAATATTGATGTAATCGAGACTCCTCCATGTCGGTCTGGTTAATATACAGTATGGTACACCGCCATCTATCGAGGATCTTTAGTTCTTTCTGTCATTATCGAGGTATTTTCCTTTTATTCAGTGAAGTCGCAGCGTAAGAGAATCCATCATCTCATTTCGACGATGAAATAAATTAAATTGTTCGTTATTATTTTTTCATGAAGAAGCATGAATAGTTTTCTGCGATATTTTTGAACAAATCAGTTACAGAAAACGTTAGGTTTCATTCACCAGTTACCTTAATTGTTTAAAGTTAATTAGTAATGTTTATGCAGATAATGACGTTATACATAGCAGTCACTCGCATTTAACAAATTTAAAAAAAAAATAACTAATTTTTATAATAAGTCTTTCATCTGCAAGACCGCTGCGCAGCGTAAAAGTACTGTTTTAGTACAGTTTGGATGGTAGAGAGATTAAGGGTATTGGAGGTCATGGACTACAAGCTCGTTTGTCATTATATACAATGATGAGAATTGATTTTTTAAACATAATTTTTGTAGAGGAATCTAGAATTATAAATAAATCTTTCTTTCTTGTATTATATGTATGAGAGTGTCAATCAAACATCACAGAATCTGTAGAGAGCATATTTAATATAAGTTTCTGATTAAAGTCCACTGCTGAACGTAGGGCTCCCCCATAGATTGCCTCATAGGGGGAATATTTGACATACATGCCACGCCTGGCAAGTGGGTTGCAACCGCAGATTTGTCTCTTAAGTCGTTATTAAGAAGACACTGCTGCCAATCTCCTGATTTGTTTCCCTCTTAATTCTTCATCATATTTGATCATTATTCAATACGTAATTGTAATTACCATAATTTTAGTGTGTTGTATAGAAAAACCAAACAGTACTTACCTAGTAAAGGATCGAGGCGATCTCTGAAGCTTTTAGAGCGCGACGCAGTGGCCGGCCCTCTTCTTGGTAGAGGAGACTCCCACTCACATGGTTCGTCCTTTGTAAGGAAAAACTATATCTATAGGAAATTCTTTATGATTCAAATTATTAATAAAATACTACAAGTTATATTATTTTACGTATAAAACAGATTAGGAAAAATAACTTTTAATAAATAAATATTCATCGTCGGCAATGAATTCCAAAGTTGAAATAATGTCAATATTATGCAAACATTATAATACTACAGTTATGTTATCAATTTATATATGTAATTGACCAACATTAACTGTGATAATGCAGCACGCATTACGATGCATGATATGACACAGACTTTACTCGCACCGAACGTGTTTCATCAACTGACCTCAAAAAGTTTAATCTCACATTAAACATGATGAAACTTAAGTAAGTTAGTACTATTATTATTCCACCAAAAACATAAATGTAAAAAGGGATCGAGCTCGGTATAAACGACGTTCGAGGTTGTCGATTTTTCCAATAAGAGTTCAGATCTGAATGGGTGCCAAAATTTAAAACAGTTCATTAGGTATATGATAGCTACAAAAATGTACCTACGTCGTTCTTAAATTGATTTAAACATGTTACGTTCTTGATTTTTGATATGGAATTAATAACTTAGAAAAACATTTTTTTAGATGTAGTGTTTTATACTATAAACAATTGAGTTTGTTGATATTAAATTTGATACCAAACGGCGTTACAAACGCATTAAAATTACAACAAATTACGCATTACAATGTTTTTAATTCTACACAAATTCATAACTAACAAATTAAGGACAACTGTATTGATAAGAGAGTTCCAAAAATATATTACAACAAGTTTTAATTATAACAAAATGTGACGACATAATTTCAATTATTTAATGATTTCTGTATTTCGACAACAGCGCCACCTACTGGGTCTAACTATAGCTAAGAACCACTCAGGTGACCTCATCATCGTCGCTTGAATGGTTCTTAGTCATAGTTATCATCTCATCACCATCAGGTTAATTCGTTTAGAAGGAGAACAATATCGAACACGCGCACACTGGCATTTTATATATTTTTCAGTCCACCTGACGGTAAGTGGTTGCTGTGGCCCATAAACATCTACATCTATCGTCGTTTGCGATTTAAAATGATGCGTTGTCACCCGCGAGGACTAAGATGGAATGCCTCTTTTCCAGTAAAAGGGTCTCCGGTACTCGACACTCACCATACGAAACACAGCAGTGTTAAGCTGCTATTTAACGCTGGTATTCTGTGAGAGCGTGATCCGTCACCGGTCGAGCCGACCCATTCGTGCTACAACTATACTAGCTGCAATATGGCTCTACCACGTTTAGAGTAGTTTAGTTAAAAATAAACATTTTAGTATCTTAGTATCTTTTTTCAAGGGAAACAGTCTAGACTTTAAATAAACGATATCAGGTACTAAAATCAATTCACTACAAATATACATGAGACATTTACATTGAATGTGCATTATCACCAATATGTAACTAACTCAGTATAATACGAAAAACATGTGTATGACTTAATAGGCGCCATGTTTTTGTAGTTTGTGCATTTTTTATTCTAAGTAGGTGACGTTTATATTTAGCTTATAACTCAAAATATATTTAATGAAGAAATAAGTTAGGTACATGAAATTGTTACTTTACTAAATAAGCTCAGCTTAATTAAGCTTGCAGCCACTGAAAAACACAAATGCAACAAATGCGAGCATAATACGATAATGATGTTTTTACCTGCGTGTAAATGTTTTAGTGCTGTATATATACGCATAACCATGGGTAAGTTATAAGAGGCACTCTCTGATGAGTAATCATGTCCGTCGTAAGACTAGTTAAGGTGGAGTGCTACGGCCCGTGTTAATACAGGCCAGGCTCGATCGTGCCATGCCTGTGGATGCCTGTGCGGCTGATTTACCTAAGAAAAACCGCAGGCCTCATCAGATGCGATGGTTCCCATGGCCTGTCGGTCTGGCCTGGCGTGACCTGGCCTGTGATAAAGCAGGCCGTGGGACCCCACTTTAAGACATTCCATCTTAGTTTTTAAGGGTTACAGTCTATTTATATTTTCTACCCTTTGAGATTGATGGGGTTAATGGTAGTATTAATGGTGTTAATAGGACGATATAGATACAAGGTTTAAATTAGGCAAATGTTTAATAACATCATATAGGTAAAACGGGAAATTAAATAAATGGAAAATAAACGTTTGAGAATTTTAAAAAAAATCTGCTTCTTATTACGGTAAAAAAAGTCTTACGTAAATTTTACAAATTCTACTTAAGTAACAAGACCTAACCAGACCTTTGAAAATGTGGCAAATTCAAAAATGTAAAGGGTTTTATATACCTACTATTAAGTCCACAATATACTCACGTTTTCATACGATTGATGTCCATTGCTGGGCGGTATAAGACCATCCCATTGCGAGCTGTCCCACGGTTCTGAGAAGACTGTGCCATCGTCACTTGCCTATTAAACATATTGTAACACTTTTAATTACAACACTCTTCTATCTGCGCAGTTATAATAAACAACACACTGACGTAAGTTCATCTTTCAGGCAGGTCAATTCAAAATAACATACATGACCTTACAACTAACATTTAAATAACTTTTGACTTTTCTATATAATAAATTATTTCCGAATATATGTATGGTTTGTATAAACTCTTAACATATAACAAACAACTTATTTCCATCCGATTACAATGGGCGTCTTCAAAGCGAGAGTGAATAGGCTTTTGTTAAGCCTGTGCGCTGCACCGTCTTAGGCTACATCACCACTTACCATTAGGTGGGATCGTAGATAAGCGCTGGCTTAGTAGAATATAAAAAAAGTTACTACAACCATATAGGCGTCATGAATCATAAAGACAATGATATAAAAAGTAATGTATAAAAATACCTGTTCGGATAAAGGTCTCAGTTCATGTACGTTGTCGTAGCAAGAAGCTCGTGGTGGTGATCGTACTTCTTCTGGTAACGCCACCGGTTCTGAGTTCAGTCTTAATTCTGGAAATCTATTAATAAAGAAAAGTAATTTTAAGTAGTGGTAAAGTTAATTAAACAATATTTAGTGGTAGCAAAGGTTTAACGGCATTATATTGATTGTTTTTATGTTTGGTTGGTTTCTGGTTACAAAAAAAAATAGCAGTTACTGCTAGCAGATAGTTAACAGTTTTAATTATGTAATGGCACACAGCAGCTATTGTTGGGTATGAAAAGATTTCTATACAATTACACAAAAGATGGACGTATTTGTATCCTAGAACTATAAGTCAGGCAATTAGAATTTCAGACATAAAATTTTGCACAAAAAAGTGCGAAAGATAAAAGCAAAAGATACGAATTGAAATAGTAACAATTTAATTATCTACAGGTAATTCGAAAATTAATACTAGTTTCATACATGAATGTGCTAAGAGCATGTATTTTATGTAACTCTGTAATGTAATGAAATTTGCTGTTACTTTTAAATAACTTACTTCTGTGCGACAACTTGATGCACAGTGAGATGTTGTGCGTTCTCGTCTACTCCACTGAGTCTGGTTTCTTGTTCGGCCAGCGATGGAAAAGTACCATTTTCACTGTTCGAACCCTCGTCATTTTTATCTGTGAATAATGCTTGACTTATTTAAATGTAACTTGTATAATTGTAGGATGCAGGAGAGTATTTTTATTTTAATTTTAGCACCTATTACTTCTCTATTACACCTTGAAGCAAAGGTTATGTGTTATAATACAAATAGTTTAAAAGACTTCACTGTTCTATAACATACAACAGTGTTGAAAACCTACATATTTGATAATAATAATAATGTCCTCCAGACCTATAATTTCGGTCACGGTGGCCAGCCTCAACGGAGACTAGCCATCGACGCAGGACAGAATTATAGTGCCCAAGTGCATGCGCAAGCACAGGTCCGCTCTCTATTCCCTCACTCTCATAATCAGATGGGACGGTAAATCGATACGATCGGAGAGAGATCAGGCGCAGGACCAACGGCTTTACGTGCTTTCCGAGGCACGGGGTTTAGACACCGCCAACTTCCTGACTCCGGGCAGCTATTGAGAATTTCTTGATGAAATAATCAATAACTGTTTTTTGGCGCGACCCGGGATTCCAACCCAGGACATTATGATCAGCCGCGGCAGTCATCACATTTTATAATAATTTTAATGAAAACTGAGTAAAAGTTCGCAAATTGCGTGCAGCAGTATGACTCTTAATATTATATGAAAATTCAAACTGTTTTTAACAATTGTTTTAACAGCAAACAAAAAAATATTCATTTTGTTGTGATTATTACATTAGAGACTTAACAGCCCGTTAAAGCTTTTCAAGGTTATCAAAAATATTATATTATTAAATATACATTTATACATACTAATAAACTGCCAGCTGGAATCGACAGCCCAAGGTTGCTCAGTTTTTCCAGTAGGTGGTTTATTATTGATCCGTGGTGGCTCCACAGGGCGCATTTTAGGTTTGTTGCGAAGCGACACCAGATTGTCCACCGAAGATGACGTATTTGGTGACGAGGCTAATAAAAAACATTTCACATTATTATTTTTAACATTTATTAACATAATAACATGATTAAGTGACTAATAATCAAAACACTAATCCCTAAGATAAGTCGTAGTAGCTCAGGGGCTCGTTCCTCGCCTGTAATTTTTTTTTATACGAGAGTATCGATTCGATCTCCGCTGGCACTGATTTACCAAGCTCTCGGCGGGGCAACTTCGAGGGAAACCTCCATGTTTTCTATTAAGTTTTTGCGAGAACATAATATGAAATTAACCAATAGCATTGGGGTAGCACATAGGACTCTTCCAGGCTCCATAAACCACTCAGAAATTACAGAGGGCTTGTACCAAGCAGTGAGTCATTTGGATTTTTCCCCATAGGAACTATTCCACATTTAATGTATACAATTTATTAATTGAAACATTCCAGGAATTGCGTATAAGCATGTTTTTATTCTGAATATTTATTATGAAGTTAAAAAGTGATCATTGACTAAACGATTGATACTTACGTGACAGTTCTTCAATACTATGCATATCCCTTAGAGGATAGTACGGATGATTCTGGTTAGGTGGTTCTGAATATCTCTGTGACAAGCTAACGCCTACTCTTAAAAGCTTTCTTCGTTGCACTGGCGGAAGGACAGCCTGTGAAAAATTGATATATTAATATGATGTGGTTATATTTTCTTTATTGATATTATTAAGTTTGAAAACAGTAAAATTAATATTGAATATAAGAAATCTTTTTTGAATTTGGTTAATTATTCTTCAGTTAAGTAAATATTATAATACTTTCATAAAATATTGATATGAGGGCTGGTTCTCTTCTCGCTCAAAGGCTAAGTATAGTCATTCAGCGAGGAAACGCAGCCAGCGTTCTTGGCACGATACCGCGGGGAGTAGGACTATATGATAGTTAAGTTTCTAGTTTAGTTTTTTTATTATTTTTTATAAAATATTATATTTATCTTTCAATATTAATCTTTCTCGGTAGGTGGGGCAATGACTGAAACTTTTACTTCAATGTACAATACATTAATGAGATCCAGATTTTGTTATATTCTTTTTTTTGGCATTAAACCAACAAATATTGTATTGTAGATTTTAATTTGAATACAGCGTTACCTATCGGATAATAGTATAACTATGGACTGAGATGGATATTGTCAAAACAAATAAATTGATAAATTTTTAATTGGTCAAGTTGATCGGAAGTGATATGAACACTAACAGACGTACCGACTATAATATAAATAAACATTTTATATAATAAAAATGTTTAAGTACACCAAAAAAAAATATGAAACAGTATGTGAAGTATAATACGTCATCAACATCGATCACTAATAAATCAAACATAACCTTCGTTGACTCAGGAACACATAAATGTTTTCATCTTAATCTAAATCAGCAAAATCTTAGGTATAGAATTAGAAATAAAAATAGGTGTTTAACTAAAACCCGTTACCGCAAATAAATAATTATAACCAAACTTACTTCTTTTAATGCATCAACAGGATCTGCATAAAATGGACTACCGGTGTTATCTTTTTCAGAATCGTCAGCGATTGCATCCTCCGTGCAATCATCTTCTAATTTTACAGTCTCCATACTTTCAATCCTATAATTCTCTCTATGTTTAAGTGCTGCTTCAATTTCTTCAGTCAATTTCTTATTCATGTTTAAAGCAATATTTAGTTTGTCTGGTCTTTTTGGCACAATCTCTCCCTTGCTATTAGTCGTTGCTATTATTTCACTAGATCCATTAAAACTTTTCTTCAGTGAACTATCAGAAAGATTTTTCTTTTCGCTAAAGCTTTCCGTTGAATTCATTATATGCACGTTTTCTTTTTCCAAAATCGACTGAGTACTTTTCGCTGTATTTAATTTCGCTATAAATAAATAAAATTTATTAAATTTCGTTTGTGTGTTGTTGCTGTGTGTTTAAATGAGTTCTAGGCTTATCTGTATTTCAAAGGTAAATATTTAGAATTTTCATTAAAACCAGTCTTTAAAATTTACTTACGCAGTGTATCTGGTAAAAGATCAGGTCTCTTGCTCTTCATTATACCGTTGTTTAGATTGTTGTCATTTTCAGATTTCAAGGGTTTAAACGTCGAACAATTATTACCTTCTGGTCCCCAAATGTCTTCATAATCGCTCACTTTATCTAATAATGAGCTTCTGTAATACACGCCTGGTGATTCTAAGATGTCTGATTCCTAAAATTAACAATTTATATATACATACATAGTAATAAGCTTTTACGTTTTAACTTTAATAAATTGATGCTGTATTAAAACAATTCTATTATATTTTACATGCAATTAGTAATTATAGTACAGCGCACACAATATTTGATATTTATATCGCTTGACGAGAATACACATGCTATAAATTGCTTGACTAATTGGAATATTATGTATACTAAACAATTTTAATATTATGATATTGCGTTAGCGTACTATTTGTGTAATACAATTAAATATCTAAATAATCTCTCTACCTGATAATGTCTGGACTCCTTTCGTAAGGAGTGTTTACTTCTCCTCGATCTACCAGATGGCGTAGTACTCGTTGTATTCGTATTTGGAGACAGAATTTTATCTTTGCCTGTTACAGGCGATAAGATGCTGTGGTTGGAGGTGGGCGAGAATATATTTTTATTAGAAACTGGCGAGTTTCTGGATACTGGCGAAAAGATCTCACTTTTGTTGGTCTGACTTGAGGGGGAAAATACCCCACTTTTAGAAGATATTGTATCATTAGACACTGGTGAATTTATTTGACTTGTTGGTGAAAATATTCCACTAGTAATAGAGTTTGTTCCATTTGGAGATACTAATTGGTTTGGGGCAAAACTGCAAGATTTTGTTAGAGAGTTGCCAATAGGATCTATGGATTCTGAAGTATTTGTTTGAGACTGTGATCCTATTGGTGAGTTATTATTTATTGGTGATTCTGGTTCTCTGGTATTCTGCTCAACTGTTTGACTTTTAAAGCTGCCATGTAAGTTAGTTGTTAAGGCTTTGACACACTCTCCTTCTGGTGACAGACGTTGCGTCATATTCTATACAGGAACAGGAAGAACTTTTATGTAGTAAACCACTTTTATATACAAATAAAATCGATATTTCAGGTTAGCAAACAAATACTCAAGCAATTGGCTTTATATAATATAACTAAATACATTTACATGCAAATAATACGCACACCATGCAAAACCACGATTTGTATTCCTTACCTGCATGTCCCCATTACATTCGAAAAAGCTTTTGACTGAGTCCAGTTTGAATGCAGTAATTGCGTTACTGTTATTGTTGGCGGCATTAGACGAAAGCGTTAGTTGCAACCGGTCGCTGTGTGTGCTCTCATTTATTTGGTTACTGTGAAGGTGTGTATTACTACCACTGACTGTAATAGTTGTTGAAACTGTCATATTTCCATTCAGTGAAGCCTTATTAATGGGGATAAATAAATTGGCTTCTGACTTTGGAGATAGTGACATCTTCGTGAAGGGTGGTTTCGCCCATCTTGGTGGTGGTGGAGGGGGAGTGGTTTTTACACTGGTCGTTTGTGTGGGGGAATGTTGTGTGTTTGTTATGGGAAATGTATGTGGTTGCGTGATATGAGCCTGAAACGATGTTAAGCGTTTATTAAAGAAATTAAGAAACAACACCGATAAGCTGCTATAATTAAAATAATGGTGTACGGCATTTACTCACTGTACTTGATATAAGGTTTAGTGTATTTGGTGGGGTTGGTCTTGGTGCACGCACAAAATTTCCGCTCGGCTTCGCAGGTGGTGAAGGAGCGGTTCTTCCTTTGAAGGTGCTAAGGTTTTGACTTTGGTTCGGTGGGGATTCTGATGTATCGACTGGCGACATTTTTAATACTAAATTTCGTTCCTTATCAGGACTAAAGACGTGCTCTCGAGAATTTGTTCTTGCGCCTAAAAAAATTATGTTATTGTATTTACTAATATTTTAAATCTGGAATGGTGAAATGCTAACGTAAAATAACCATATGTTAACGCATGACACCAGTATCATAAATAACGTAATATTTTTGTTATTATCTTCTTCTACCTCAACATATTTAAATCCACTGTTAGACATGGCCCTTTTAAAGAATGCGGAAGAAGCAAAGCATTCCTTGTAAGAGCTATCCCTGATCACGCTTGGCAGACGGATTGGTTAGAATAGAGCCTTCGTAGCCTTCATACCATAGGTACGGCATTTTTATGATAAGTTTTCCGATATAAATTGGTTGTCGAAGTCTTGTCCGTCTGTCATTGATTGTTACATGTCCTTACACATTTTTCCATGGGGAAATGCATACGCATACCCGCCCCGCACTAATTAAATTGTAGCCCCATGGAGTTTCACCTTTACCACATAGTAACACTTGTGCGTTCAGACCGGAGATATGCGAAAACATAGCGTCAGAAGCACAGGAAAATTCACAACACAATAATTATAGAGACCTGAAAACGAAACATTTGTATTTTTATACAAATTGTCGGCTTTAGTACCATAGTCCACAAACACATCCTTCGGCAAATTGTACAGAAGACCGAAGAGTACAATCTGCCACTTTGCCTTGCGTATGTGGACTATGAGAAAGCCTTTGATTCCATCGAAATTTGGGCGGTGCTACAGTCCCTTCAGCGGTGCCAAGTTGACTATAGATATATCGAAGTACTGAAGTGTTTGTACAGTAGGGCTACGATGGCTATCCGAGTACAGAACCAGAGTACAAAACCTATCCAATTGCAGAGAGGTCTAAGACAGGGCGACGTTATATCCCAACATCAATGGCGAGTACATCACTCACCTTCGATTTGCCGACGATATAATCCTTATGGCAGAATCGCTGGAGGACCTAAGCACTATGCTCAATGACCTCAATAGTGTCTCCCAACGGCTAGGTCTTAAAATCAAAACAAAGATCATGTTTAATGTCTATGTCACACCTATGCCGGTAGTTGTTGGGAGCACTAAGCTCGAAGTTGTTGACGTGTATGTTTACCTGGGACAAATAGTCCGACTAGGTAAGTCCAACTTCGACCGAGAGGTCAATCAACGGATTCAACTCGGTTGGGCAGCGTTCGGAAAACTACGGCACATCTTCTCGTCACGTCAGGTATACCTCAAAACTTGAAAACGAGACTGAACAACCAGTGCGTGTTGCCAGTGATGACCTATGGAACAGAGACGTGGTCCTTTACTGCCGGCCGGATGAGGAAGCTCAAGGTCACTCAGCGAACTATGGAGAGGACTATGCTCGGAGTTTCTCTGCGTGGTAAACTTAGAAATGAGGATATCCGCAGTAGAACTAGAGTGACCGACATAGCTCAACGGATTAGTAAACTGAAGTGGCAATGGGCCGGCCATATAGCTCGAAGAACCGACAACTGATGGGGAAAAAGGTTCTGGAGTGGCGGCCTCGTACCGGCGGACTAAGTGTAGGGCATCTCCCCACTAGACGGAGTGACGACCTGGTAAGACATGCAGGGAGTCGATGGATGCAGGTGGCTCAGGATCGTGTTTTGTGGCATTCCTTGGGGGAGGCCTATGTTCAGCAGTGGACTTGTGAAGGGCTATACTGATGATGATGATGATGACAAATTTTCGAAAGGATTCGTTCATATCCCATATCCGCAACGTAGTAGCCAAGTACACTGATCATTAGGGCATTAGGTCGTCAATATTTTATTTTAATAAGATAGCTTTATTTATTTATTTAAATCAACCCAAGCTAACAGAACGCATTGTGTATTTACACATTGCATAACGTAAATACACAATGCTAGTGATGAATTATGGATATGGGACGTGATCCTTCAATGCTGGCCGTATGAGGAAGCTCAAGGTCACTCAGCGAGCTATAGAGTAGACTATGCTCGAGGTTTCTCTGCGCGATAAACTCAGAAATGAGGACGTTGGCAGTAGAACCAGAATAACTGACATAGCCCAATGGATTAGTAAGTTAAAGTGGGAATGAGCTGGCCATATAGCTCGAAAAACAAACAACCGATGGGGAAGAAAAGATCCAGACTAGCAGCCCCGTCCCAGTAGTCGAAAGAGTGACGACCTGGTAAGACATGCAGAAGAAAGTCGATGGATGTATGTGGTATGCTTTGTGGCATTCCTTGTGGGAGGCCTATGTTCAGCAGTAGACTTGTTATTGTAATGATGATGATGATGTATAAAAATTACATTAATTTTATTTCGTGTGTTTTGCATTAGTATGAAATAAAATAATATCTTATACAAAAATAGAAAAAGTTATGTACTTACTTGCATTAAAACTGCTTAGACTAGAGCCAGCATCAGAAGGAGTAACAGCCATTGGTATGACACCATTGGCTAGTTGACATGGTGACACAAGATTCTGGGAATTATTTTTAGGATTTGCCATTGGATATCCCCAAAACTCCTGGCCAAGTAATGTGAGCGAGCTGAGTTGATGACGGCTTTTAGCTTCACGCAATGGCCGTGGCAACTGCAGTTGAACTGGTAATTCGTCACTGCATATTCAAAAAAAAAAAATTATCACTATCACAATGACTGTTAAATATTATTTACTAATCAAAAATTATAAATTCTTTTAACCTTTTTAAGAAATAATTGCTAGATTTTTTATGCACTTAAGTTTACAAATACAAATAAAAATTATACAAATACGATATATTTTTATGATTACTATATTTTTTAAGTAATTTATATATTAGCGTATTGTTAGACTTTTTTTATTCTAATCTCATATGACTTATAATATTAAGTTTAAATACTAAAAGTTACATTTAAGTTTTAAATAAATATATAGGCCCATATATTCTATGGATATATAGGTAAAAGATACAGTTCCAAACCATGGCAAAACTCGGTTGACCCGTACTTCATTTCGTAACATTATTTCCTTTGGTGAAGTCTATATCCATTTATGAAATAGAAATATCACAAGCCGTGTTGGATACGAACTTTTAAAGAAAAAATTAGTGATGCGTAGATTGTAATATATATTGTATTAGATGGAAACCTTTCATGTAGTGAAACATTTCTAAAGCTGCTTATTACGGTCTTAAATGTTTAATAGCCTCGTAGATATAACTTAAGTCCGAAGATTATAAGAGCAGAGAATTGAGAATACATACTACGTATTTGAAATATTGTACGTGGTAGAACCAAGCTGCAGCTATATTTATAATATAGTTGTAGCACGAATGGGTCGGCTCGACCGGGGAGGGACCACGCTCTCACAGAATACCAACGTAAAATAGCAGCTTAATGCTGCCGTGTTTCGTATGGTGAGTGTAGAGAACCGGAGACCCTTTTTGCTGGAAAAGAGGCATTCAATCTTAGTCCTCAAGGCTGACAACTCATCTGCATTTTGATTCGCTAACGAGGATAGATGTAGACGTCTATAGGCCACAGCAACCACTTACCATCAGGTGAACTGTGTGCTCGTTTGTCACCCTATATCTATCTTTATATATAAAAATTACGTGTCACATTGTTTATCCGCGATGAACTCCTAAACTACTGGACTGATTTCAATTAAATTTTTCAAACTGTGTGCAGTTTGGTCCAACTTGAGAGATAGGATAATTTTTATCCCGATAAGTGATCCTCAATATTTTTTATTACGTATTTAAGAATTATTTATAGGAAGGGTCTTCGGAAAGGGCAGAACAACGTCTGTATAGCCAGCTAGTATACATATATATATAGAATATTAGTCTAAGTAACAGGATTAGTGTAAGCTAACATAAAATTTTCAAGTACATGTTTACAAGCCCTCGCATAAGATTTGGTTCGTTGTGTATTATTTATAGGTACTGTGTCGTTGTGCAGATAATCTTTTATATTTTTTCAACTTTAACTTAAATGTTAGTCATAGTTTTAATAAAATTATGAAGTGATATAATCTATACATATACACACACGCATTTACACCTATGTACTGACTCATTACGTTATCTACTACTAGCACCTCGACAGTGAGGGAAAAAATTGTGAGTAAACCTGTACATTTAGAATATCTAGATGTGTAATCATGATCCAATTTGTCCGGTTTCCCTGTCTAAGGGTTACGAAATAACCAGACTCGATAAATACTGGATCATGGTCGTATCATGGTTGCCATATGTGTGCAAATGAAAATCGACTAAATTTTGCAGAAAATACGAAAAAATAATAAATAAATATTGCTGACGTAATCACCATCCAGATACCCCATCCCCCATGTCATCAAAACTAAGCACATTAAAGACCACACCCCCCACCCCTTTAGTGTTTACATAATACTTGAATGGTCTATATATATGTAACTGAACTCCACCTAAACGGTGGGACCGATTTTGATGAAATTTTGTGTGTGATTAAGTTGATTCGATTCGCTGCCCAGCAGGTGGCGCTGTTGACAAGGTCCAGAAATCACCCGTGCGAAGCCGTGGCGGATCGCTAGTCAAAAAATAAGCATGATTATTCAAACTGGTACATGCAATGTTTTTTTTTCTACTGTAATTTCATTACATTTGGTAAGCTGAAAAAAATTGCATCCCCTGTGTTGTTTAGGCGTAGTATTATATTATTATAATCAGTCCAAAAGTCTAGAAGATATGATGCTGCAACACATTACAATAGGGTAGACAGACAAAACAAAATTATAACCTTGACAGCAGAATCCTAAAAAGAACCTCCACAAGAGTTCCAAGAGTTCATAGTGTTATTGCGATGTGTCACTTTTCACATGCCCTCGAAATATATTTTTAAATTGTTCTTTTACGCTTTAAACTCTAATTAAAGATATTATTGGCTGCTACGGAATTGATATCGATCCCCTCTATCCTTGAGCTAACAAGGCTCTTGCAGATTATACATAATGTATAATATTATGAAGTTCTTACCAGCATTGTGAATAATGCGCAATCAGCTCAGGGATGTTGTCGAAGCGATTGTGCGACGTCTCGAGGCCGATGCGACCATCCGAAGCCTGTATAAGGTAATGTTCGATATAGGGCCCCTTGTCAGCTGGGAGGCGGACACTGATCGCCATTGTATCTGGCTGACTTGATTGACGAACCACGAAGTTCTGTAAAAACAACAACTCACGATTAAGAGATGTCACAAGTAATAAAAATTAAAACGACCATATAAGCTGCGTCTCTTTGTATAATCATACGCAAACTACGTGGTCAGAGTGCAGTACTCGGCAGATTCTGGATTCGAAGCCCAACCCAACATTCACGCGAGACAACAGTTGTTAGTTTTCAAATCTCGTTGTAGGTATTGTGTGTTCCCTGATCTCTTACATTACATCCTAGTTCTTAGCTTACTTCTGATAATACCACATGAGTAACATCCGTTACCTCAGATACGGATAGGTCAGGACGAATGCTTCTGTGTTTGTCTGTATTATCTGACAGTTAAGTATAATATGTGCCGTTGATAGCTTCCCATTGGTGGTGACGGCATTTGCCTTGTGATAACGACGTAAGAGAAATTTATGTTATAGTTGTTATAAGATGCGACTATGAGAAAGACCAGAAAGACCTCGTGGGCTTCAATAGATAGCGGTAAGCCAATAAGCAGGTAAATGCTTGATGTGAACAACCCAAATAGGCGGTTCAAACAACCTGGTCCTGCGATTCTCACTCCCTCTGTCAAGCGTGTCAATTAAGACACCTACAATAAAAGATACCCATGTCCAGCTGTGCACTATTACGCGTTGATAAAAATAAAAGAAAAAATCAAGTAGTAAAAATAAATTTACTCTTAAATAATATAATCGTAAATTAACTAAGGTTTTAACAACTTTCTTGACTTCATCCGTGGTAGAGCCACGCTGCAGCGAAATTATGGTTGTAGCACGAATGGGTCGGCTCGACCGGGGTAGGATCACGCTCTCACAGAATACCAGCGTCAAATAACAGTTTAATGATGCTGTTTCGTATGGTGAGTGTAGAGATCCGGAGACCCTTTTTACTGGATACGAGGCATTTCATCTTAGTCCTCAAGGGTGACAACGCATCTGCGTTTTGATTATTTATTGAGGATAAATGTAGATGTCTACGGAGCCACAGCATCCACTTACCATCAGGTGGATGGTGTGCTCGTTTGTTACACTTATAGAATATACTATAGAAACAAATACTTTTTTGGTTTAAGTATTTTATTATTTTTTAATTTCTATAGTACGCTACTGTAACAATGAAAATAAATTTAAGTTTAATATTAATGTCAGAAGTTTAAACAAAGAAGAATTAAGAGTAAAACATACGCCTTCCTCCTTTCCTTGCAGCAAGTGAAATGCGCCAGCTCTTTGAATCCCGGGCAGGAACCAAACCGGATGAGTCCGTATCAGACGTTCCAGTAGACCAATGTCGCATGGTGGCTGCTCCTCCGACCCAGATCCTGATGAACTGACTGAGGAGCAATCACCTCGAGCACCTTCGCCGTCTGAAGATAAGCTTTCTCGACTCTGTAAAAATTATTTGATTACTTAGTGTGTATATCGTGGTTAATTAAAAAAATCCTACTATATTAAAACTTTCTAAAAATAAATACGCTTTTTTAATTTCATCTAGAGGAACTTGCTTCCTTCACACTATTTAATTAATATAATATGTGCATATCAATCTGTTGATTGTTGGGTTCTGTGACATGAAAGTTAGATGTTATTCAGATAACGTAACATTTAATAATATCATGGCAATAATATAATTAAAAATTAAAAATTTTGTACAGCCGACTTCAATATAAGTTATTAAGAATAACTCAAAAACTATTGTTCTGACCTTGATCAAATTTTTATGGGACCACACGAGAATCATTACCTTTCAAATAAAAAAAGAACCATCGAAATCGATTCATCCAGTAAAAAGTTATGAAGGTCACACACATAAAAAAAACATACAGTCGAATTGAGTACCGTCTCCTTTTTGGAAGTCGGCAGAAAATGGTACTTTAGGGAATGGAATTTTTTATTCGTATCTGTATCGCTCTTGGCAGTCGACTACAGTGTGATTTACTAGTAGTTTCCTTCCTCGCACGACTTCTTTGTGGAATCGTTTACCACCAGCAGTCGACGCTTACCATCAAGTGAGCCGCATGCTCGTTTGCATCATCTTCTATAGCAAAACATTACGTAGACGAAATGGTTGCTATAAGATCATGATTAGCTGGTTAAAGAAAAATATTTGGTGCCTGAGAGATCTCGCCTGAGAAATATAAAATACAATCAAAGTGTAAGGGATGTAACTAACTATATGGTCATCAGAGGTTCACACAAAATATAAAAGTTCAGATGCTCTTTCACCTATAACACTCAATGGTTATATCTATGTAGTTAATCGCAGAATAAGGAAATTTAGATTTAGATGTACGAGATGGGGAGCGGAGATTGTGCATTCGTTCCATATGGTAACTCGTGAATAGTATTACTCTTCACATTCCGCTATAAACGTCAAATTAATTTAATTGAAAGCTAATTGTCAAACTTTGTATTCAAAAACTTTCGGATAATGTTACTGAATTATGCGCTTACAGGTAAGAAAAATATTTTCCGAATTTCTCACGCCGTAGTTGTTTCATGGCTGCATTGTTACGAGAACCGGAAACTTTAAGTACGCTGTACGCTTATTGTACTTCTAATTATGATTTATTGCGTTTAAATATTTATTAATTGTTATTATCTAACCTTTGTGTTACCGACATGTAGTACAATAATAATTAAAAATTAATAACACGTTGAAAAAACTAAAAGCATACAAATACCCTTATAATCTATACTTCGAAAGCGGGGTAACGAAATTTAAGGCGTTTTCCTGACCAAATAACCTTGAGAATGCAGTGCACTGCCGCCCGCACTCTGCGTACGCCCATTTATCATAGAATTCACACAATTTTTGGAATTAATTTTCATTAAAAAAGAAAAGCGAACTTTAATCCTCAAATAATTAGAGCGTTGCCTTTAGCAACAGATGCATGTAATCAATAATTTTAGTCATTTTTTAAAAGTACCTAGATTTTAAAAGTATTCAGAACACATAAAAACAAATTAGAACGTGAAATGGGATGATAGGATATTGAATATTAATAACTTGCTTTTGGATGTACTTTATTTCTCATAACTAATGAGATAATAGTCTCTGAATAACAAAGAAAAACGCACTATCGCAAGGTTTTGGTCGGGGTATCGCCTTAAAGCCAACCCTGGACTTACCTCGGCTCTACGCATATTAAAAATTAGCAAAGTTTAAGGTAAGAGTAATAAGTACCTATAGTAAAATCACAATATATCATTGATATTTAAAAACACTATATATAAAAATCAATTTCTCGTGTCTCTAAAATGGCTCGACCAATTTTGGTGAACTTTTTGTGTGTATTTGAGTGTGTCCCTGGATGGTTTAAAAACTCAGTTGGACCTGGTAGGTGGCACTGTTGTCAAGATCCATAAATTACCCGTGCAGAGCCGGGGCGGACCACTACTTTAAAATATAATTGCATTTTTCAGTGGTGATTTATTGCGTGCTCGGTCGGAAAGAAAACATCGCCAGGGAAACTTGAATGCCTAAGGAATTAAATAAATAATATTTAAAAATAATATTTTAAGGCTATGTAAACTCCGCCTTCATAACTGCAGCAGCGAGATGGACACTTCACTGCCCTAAAACCTTCCGAGAAATGAGACGACCTTCCCTCATTTCTACTCCCATAATATGCTTCCTAAATTAGGCATGAAAGTTCTGTATTATCGCTACGATATCGATACCGTTGCGTTCAATGAAAAACGTTCGAGATAATATCGATGTCGGTAATAATATATCGTTATCTTGTCGGCCAATAAGAAACGGACATCCACAAACACCATTGTTAATAATATTATTTTTGTATTTTTACCTTGCTTTTCCTGATTAAAAGATAGGGCAGCTCTTAATTCTAATATATGATATTATATGTGTGATACAAATAAAACAAGTCCCTATTTCCTAAATTATAGAACCCAGGTTATGTTCAACAATAAATAAAACACACCCAATCCTCAGTTTCGGGCAACTTGCCCACAAGGCTGGCGACAGGCACATGGCGACGACAGGCAATTTTGCTGCCTACTACGTACTTCACGGGCTCCGTATATTTCTTTCTGATTAAATTTGTACTCTGTGCCAAGATAGCTTTACAGCCCTAGGATATTATTAGGTCTGAGCGTTCGTAACTATTGATTTGAACAAGGCAAAAGTTGTAGCAATTATCGTTTAGTTGAACAACTGAACCCTCTTAGATAAAAGCGCAGAGATAAGGAGTTCATGTAATGGTTATTGTTATATTGGAAAGTTTAAATGACTCATATTAAGATTCGGTATTCGGCGATTTAGATAAGAAATTAAAGATATAATAATCTAATTCAATATAATTTACATATTAAGCGATTGCTTGGTGTTGTATGTATATCTTCATCGAGTATACAAAAAAGGGAATTATTCTTTCAGTTATCAAAATTGACATAATAACGTAATTTTAGAATATTAAACATTTTTTTTTAAATATATATTTAATATTGTGTTTAATGATGTCTGGGATAATTAGATGTACGAGTATTAAAGACATTTTTTAAATTGATAGGAAATCAAAATAAACAAAATATATTATATTAAATATGATTGCAAGATTTTGATTTTAAACATGGTGTTGAAACGCAATAATACATTTTTGATTATGAGAATAATAATAAAAATATTTTTAAATTGAAGTATAAAACATCCATTCTGAAAGATGTTAAATACAATGAATAAAATTACCTACTAGAAATGTTTTTCGAAATACAACTTCGGCGAAAAGGTATTTCGCGACAAATTTCCATGATGCTTACTTCAAACAGAAGGAAGGCTCTTTGTTCACGGACTTGGAAATATTATTACCCGATTTCAACGCAAAAAGGTTCGGCAGCGGCTGTTACAAAGGCACAATTCAGGGGTTCCAAACTCTTTGCAGATGTCATAACAATCCGCAAGATTTTTATCTTCAAAGAGTCATTTTATGTGTAGCATATTCGATGTGAATGTAATTTAAAGGAGATAGAAGCTCGTTTCAAAAGTACATAATATTTAAAATTTACAAAAGTATTGTCTATGTAAGCTACGTAGAGCAAAATACTGCTTTCCAATTAGGTTAATACTTTGTTTCAACGATGCAATTATTTGCGTAGTTGTATTTTCCTAGTTGGAGAACTTTATAATCGCCACAAAAATGTCAGGTGGATTAGCAACTATAGAATCAGTTACTTCATTCCTGCAACAGTGTTTCCTATTAAATATTGTAATTGATATTTAAAGGTATGCGTAAACTAACACTAACACCATCCGTAAATATTGATTGATGGATCTAAATACCGCAAGGCGAAAGTCACTTTAATTTTATCATTTATTAATCTTAGCACGATTGAGTTTGTGACCCCTGACAGATAGCAAACAATTTCATATACCTTCATACTTTCTCGTTTAAGTCAAATTACGTTCGCTTATTATGCTAAAGTTATTTCAGTCCTTTGGTCAAGTGGCATCGGCCCTAGATGAGACTCTCATGACAGGGGGTAGCGATAAGTTTTGTAAAATAGTATGAGCGGCCAGCGTTTATTATTTGAGTTTTCACTGATATTTTTATGAAATTGAAGCAGTTCTTAGCAAAATACAATCTTAGGGAAAAAAGGACCACAAAAATATTTTATAGAACACTGTTTTTAAGACAAAGTTTCGTGAGTGCTGTGTAAGTACCTGCATTATTACTAGTTAGCCATGCTGCAGCTATATTATGGTTGTAGCACGAATGGGTCGGCTCGACCGGGGAAGGACCACGCTCTCACAGAATACCAGCGTAAAATAGCAGCTTAACGCTGCTGTGTTTCGTATGGTGAGTGTAGAGAACCGGAGACCCTTTTTACTGGAAACGAGGCATTCCATCTTAGTCCTCACGGGTGACAACGCATCTGTATTTTGATTCGTAATCGAAGATAGATGTAGATGTCTATGGGCCACAGCAACCACTTACCATCAGGTGGACTGTGTGCTCGTTTGTCACTCTTATCCTATATAAAAAAAGTTAATAGATTAAATTCATTCTAGTTGTTAAGACGTATTATAAAATAATATTTTTTTTGTTCTAGAAGACCATACAAGAATACGCATGCGAATTTTGATTCTAAAGGCGATATTGTAGTACTTTTTAACGTTTTTGAACCTCTCTAAATGTACTGAAAAGTAATCCCTTACAGATGAATAATGAAACCATGTAAAACTTACATCAAATGAAAAGGATTATGATTTTAGGTCATTTTGAGAACACATTTTATAAAGTCAGAACAGTTTAAGCGCTCGCGCCAGACCCTGCTAGGGCTCACCGGCACTGGTGGCCGAGATATTTTCAAGATATGACGTACGTTGTTTATTGCAAAATTATCCTTTCAAACTTATTTCTCGCAAA